ATAAATCCCTAGGTAAATTACTTGGAAATTTTGAAATTCGCAGGAAATAATTACCTAGGAAGGTTTTACCTTCGGATTCTTTTTGAAATTCGCAGGAAACTTATTTTCCTGCGAATTTTTATTTATAATCCCCAGAAAAATCCCTATGTAATTCACACTTTTCTTGTAGTGTTCCTTGCAATAAAATTTCTTTGAAGTATTTATAAAAGTTCACGGTTTTATTGAAAAAACAGCATAAATTGGTTTGATCAGGTTCGATCGATTCGATTGGTTTTTCATATTCTTTTGACACCCCTACTTATATATGCTTACACTACATAAATAAAATTAATTGATCAATCAACCATATTGATAGTTTCAAAACAAATTAAATGTTTTCCATACACTCTAAGAATATATTTTTGTGGACTAAAAGTGTGTTTGGTATGGAGGATTTTCTCTGAATAATGAATTTCTATTTTTCTATGTTTGGTTGATTAACATGTTTTAAAAAGGGGGAAATTGTGCATCATAGCAAACTATTAATTCAAAATAAATGTTATAACTACAGTTTCATTTAATTCTAATTCGTAGCAAAATACTTTGTCATTCTCGCTTCTCTCCCCTGAATCTCGCTCGCCACTCTCATTCTCTCCCTCGCCTCTCTCACTTTTATACAAACACAAATGTATAAAGTGAGAGAGATTGTATATACAAATACATATCTCTCTGTCCTACACTTCTAATTATACTAATACAAATATTCCCTTGCCCAGTTCTCTTTTGCCTTTCTTTCTCTATCTCGCTTTATACAACCATAAATTATACAATGTACAATTTGTGTTTGTATAAAGCGAGAGAGAGATTTGATATACAAACACAAATGTTTTAACTCGATTCAATTGTATGCAAATTCAAATTTTATGCAAATATACAACACAATCGTTGATACATATACATAGTAGTTACATATATACAATTATCTAACCAATATACATATACAATTCACCTCTCTCCACTTTATGCCCTCTTTCGCCACCTCTCTCCTCTTTCCTCTCTCTCCTAATCTCGCTCGCCACTCTAGCGTAACACAAAAAACATTTACATATACAAACACAATTTTCATAGACACAAATGCCTGATTTATCAAATGCTCCATAGCAAAATTGTAGCTATAGAGCGCTAATATGATTTTTATGTTTGTTTTTCCTAAAATTTACTCATTAAAAAATACTTTCTAGATAAACACGTTCCTTGAAAATAAGAAAAACGATTTTCTTAATTAAAAATGTAAAAAGCAAGTTTCAAAGTAAGTTCATTGTCTTTTCACCACCCACCCACCCAATGTCCCCAACCTCCAACCCCATCCCCTTGATCATCCCACCCCTCTTTCACTCAACCCCCCCCCCCCCATTCCAATTGGCAGATAATGGACTTTCATCCTTACGAAGATATATCTAATTTTTACAATTCTCTATCCAACAATAATTGTCCACTATTAAATTGACACATTTAAAAAATAATAATAAATAATAGAGATAATATTACTATATTATCTTTGACCTCTATTAAATTTAATATATTGAGAAATGTGTTAGATGATAAATAATATTTAATAGCGAGAGTAAAATAAACACAAAAAAAATTGTCTCTTGAATTTCTAAACTAGACAAATAATATTGAACAACTATTTTTAATATAGTAGACAATTATTATTGAACGAAGGAAATAATAGTTAACACTTTGACGCAGCTGTTGAGTCCGTGCTATGCATAGGCATGTCAAGAGCACGCGAATATCTTAGCAAATGACTAGACAAACTAGTTAATTCTTCTCCTTGCATAAATTATTAATGTTGTCGACCGAATTTTTCATGTACAAAAGGATTAAATGTTGCAAAATAAATTAAGTGTTTCCTATTATAAAAGTTCAGAACAAAAAAGGAAGAAGACAAGATATAGATAAAGGAGAAAATATTTCTTCTATTCAAGTGTGTTGAAAACCAAAGAGAAGATGATCGAGAAATTTTCTGTGTTTTCATTCATCACTGTTACATTGATTTATACAAGTAGAATTGAGAAATATTGCAATTATGCTCTGTACACTTGTCACTATTCTACAGGCTAGGATCCTAACAAACTTTGCAGGGAAATTATTCACAAAATATTCCTTTGCTATGTACACGTATAAGGCTTCTAGAAGGTGTCAAAATAAGAACTGCTTTCATCATCAATTGGGCCAGAGCTGTATGAGTCCAAATCTGCTTTCTCTATATTTGAGCCCAAATTCCTTTTTGTCTTAGTTTGTACAGTATTCCTTTCTTGAGAGTATCTCTGAGTTGAGAGAGACAGGAAGTATTATGATGGTCTGAGAAATCAGAGATTACCACTGACTTGGAATTTGAGATCCCAACATCCCCCCTCAAGTTAGAGGGAGGTGAAACAATCCTCAACTTGGGCAAAATAGATCGATGAATAGGTCCAGAGAGGGGATTTGTGAAGACATCACGAAACTGGGCGACATAAGGAACAAACCATAATGAAATTAGCCCAGCAAGGTATTGTTGACGGACAAAGTGGCAATCGTGGTCCACGTGTTTCATCCGCTCATGGAAAACTGGGTTTTTGGTGATATGAATAGCAGCCTGGCTATTAGAGTGCAGAGGAATATGCAATGGTGAAGGCACACTAAGATCGTCGAGTAAACGAACCAGCCAAGTGATTTCAGCAACGACCCTGCGCATGGACCTGTACTCGGCTTTAGCAGATGAAAGGGAGACTAAAGATTATTTCTTGGATTTCCATGAGACTGGACAACCCCCAAGAGTAATGTAATATCCACTGATAGAACGGCGAGTATCTAGACATCTACCCCAATCAGAGTCACAAAAAGCAACGAGATCGAGAGTCAAATTAGTAGAGAAGAAAATACCCAATTCGAGATCCAATAAAAGATACCTGAGACATCTCAAAGCTGCATCAAAATAAGGGATACGGGGAGATTGCATAAACTGGCTAAGGTGTTGAACTATAAAGGAAAGATCCGATCGAGTGTTTGTGACGAAATTCAATTTTCCCAAGAGTATGCGATACAAGGTTGGATTGGATAAAATTTCACCATCATCAGCTCATAGTCGGATATTGGGATCCAAATGAGAAGACACATGTTGTAAGTCAGTGCAACCAAACTCTAACAATAAGTCAAAAGTAAACTTTCGTTGTCCCAAAATGATTCCATGTGGTTCCCGGATGATTTCCATCCCCAAGAAATAATGGGCAGCACCTAGGTCTTTGATCCGAAACTCAGAATGTAAAAAAAGCTTGAGAGATTCCAATTCACAAGAATCATCTCATGTGAGCAAGATGCCGTCGACATAAACTGCCAAAATAGACACTCGCCTTTGAACCCTTTTATAGAAGAGGGAGTAGTCATTTAGAGAATGGGAGTATCCCTTGAAACTTAAATCTGCAGTCAAACGAGCATACCATTGTCGCGATGGTTGACGCAAACCATAAAGAGATTTGTTAAGGCGACAGACATGAGAAGAACTAGGAGGCTGCATACCAATAGGTAACTTCATTTAGAGCTCTTCCTGCAAATCACCATGCAGGAAAGCGTTATTCACATCCAACTGTGAAATATGCCAATGCTTTTTGACTGCCACAACCAATAAACAGCGAATGGTTGTCATCTTGACAACCGGAGAATATGTTTCAATGAAATCGATGCCCTCTCGTTGAATATCCCCCCTCACAACTAACTGAGCTTTAAGTCGCTCAACCATTCCATCCTGGTTATACTTAACTTTGTACACCCATTTGTATGGTAGATCTTTCTTACCTTTTGGCAATTCAACAACATCACACGTATTATTAGATGCAAGAGCCTCAAATTCCTTAGCCATAGCTTCTTGCCATCCAGGATGTAAAATAGCTTGAGAGTAGGAAGTGGGTTTAGTAATAGAAGAAACAGAGTTTAGAAAAGATCGATTTGTACTGGATAAGGCAGAAAATGGAAGTGAAACAGGGGAAATAGGGACAGCAAAACACTGATTAGTGACATTGATGAGAAAGACTGAATTGCAAATATAGTCACTTAAGTACTTGGGAGTACGAGAGACTCGAGTGAAGTGTCTAGTAGGTTGTGGTGGTGGTTCATGAGCAGGTACTTAAATGTTCGAAGGGTGTGGTTGATGTTCAGGTATGTCATCTGATTGTTGGGGAATATCGGGGATGTCCGCCATGTCTGATGGCATAGTAGAAGGAGGGATGGAAACAAGACTTTCATTAGGTAAAGGAGATTGAGGAGAAACATGAGAAATGGGACATTATGAGTCATAATCTGGAAGGACAGAAGATTGAGAGGGAAGAGAGAAAAGAGGGCAAGCTGGAACATTACTAGAGAAAAGATATATGCTTTTATGGAAAACGGCATCCCTAGACACAAAGATCTTGTTATTGCTCAAGTTAAGAAGTTTGTACCCTTTCTTCCCAAATGGATAACCTAAGAATACATTTGACAGATTTATGATCTAGTTTTCTTCTATGGATAGGTAAAGTAGAGGCATAACAAAGACAACCAAAACATCTAAGAAAGGAATAATCAGGGTAATGACCAAACAACAACTCATATGGTGTTTTCATATCGAGCAACTTAGAAGGAAACCTATTGATTAAAAAGGTTTTTGTTAAGAGACATTCTCCCCAGAAACGAGTAGGTAATTTGGACTGAAAAAACAAGGCCCTACATACCTCTAACAAATGCCTATGTTTCCTCTCCACTACGCCATTTTGTTGTGGAGAGGATATACAAGAGGTTTGATGTATTATACCTTCTGAAAGGAGAAATTCTGTAGCATCTTTACTACTACCTAGTTCAAGGGCATTATCACTTCTGAGAATCTTTACTGTAGTGTGAAACTGAGTTTTGACCATAGCAAAAAATTGCTTTAAAACAGTGAACGCATTAGACTTAGTGCTCAAAAGAAAAGTCCATGTTGCTCTAATGTGATCATCCACTATGGTTAGAAAGTACTTAAAACCATCATGTGTTGGGGTCTTGTAAGGTCCCCATGTATCAACATGTATGAGATCAAAAAGATGTTTAGAAACAATAGTACTAGACCCCAAAGGTAACTTAGTTTGCTTTGCTCTAGCACAAACATCACAAGGAACAGATTCTAAAAATAAAGAAGAACTTGGTACTTGTGCTATAACACTTGATTACAAGCAGAATTAAAAACTTTGCTAGAAAGAGATAGAATATCTGAAGGCTTGACTTGTCTGGTGCTAGTTGAATGTAGAAGATAGAGCCCCGTAGTGACTTTACCAAGAACCAGTGGCCTCTTCATTGAAGGCCCCTACAAAATAGCACAAAAAGCAGAAAAACTGAGAATGGAGTGGAATTGTAAGCATAGTATATAAACAGATAAAATGTTAAAATGAAAAGATGGGACATACAGGACATGCATGATGTATATTAAAATCTGGCAACAAAGACACTGAACCTGATTTAGAAACAAGAGCTCTAGTAGAATTTGGTATATTTACATATATTGGCTTGGGAAGATTCTTGACATTAAACAAAAGGTTAAAATCAGATGTCATATGCTCAGAAGCACCTGAGTCTAGAATCCAAGAGACTGACATTAAAGACACACTAAAATAGAATCTAGGTGAGGGTTAAGTAGTTATACAATACAATTAACTGTTGCAGATTCTTCTGTATTAGTTTGTGGTTCTGCTCCTAGCTTCACATGTTGCAAAAACTGATATAGGTGGTGGTATTGATCCTGGGTCATTGGCTTGTCTCCTGAATTGCTACTTGATTCATCAATGGAACAAGCAGAATTGCTTTTGATTGGGGTCCCATCTTCTTTGGCTTTGTGAATTTCAAATCAGAAGGAAAACCTATCAGCCTGTAACAATTTTCAATAGTGTGGTTTGTTTTCTTACAATAAGAACAGAATAGGCCATTAGCAATTTTCTTTCCTTCAGTTACAAGTTTCCTTTCTACAGATTTTTATGAATTATAGGGCTGTCTAGAAATCCCAGCAGTGGAAGTAGAAGATCCTGAATAAGTATTTGTTCTTTGTTTAGAAGCATAAAAAGCTGTAGGTGCAGCATGCTGTGAGACATGAACTTCCCTTTGTTTCTCGTCCCTGATGAGGAGAGAATATGCATAGTTCACTGAGGGAAGAGGGGAAAGCAACAAAAAGTTGCTTCTAGGTCCTGCATAAGCTTCCTTCAGTCCCATTAAGAACTGAATAAACATTGTATCTTGTTCAGATTTGTGAGATCTCACCTTACCTCCACATGAACAATCACAGGTGCAAGGTTGACAAAATATCTAGGTTGTCCAGCTCATCCCATAGTCTTTTCATCTTGGTATAATAACTTGCAATGTCCAGATTTCCTTGAACTGACTCATTATTTCCTTTTGTAGTTGATAAAGAAGAGGTCCATTGCTCTGGCCAAATCTCTCCTCAAGCTCCTCCCAGATGGTCTTTGCAGTCTTGGAGTACAAAACACTTTCAGCAATCTCCTTTGATAGTGAGTTCAAGAGCCAAAAGATGACCATATTGTTGCATCTAGACCATGATTTGTAATTATCAGAAGTGATATTTGGAATGGTGATTGTACCATTAATGAATCCAACCTTGTTCTTTGTTGACAAGGCTATCAAAATTCCCCTGCGCCAACCTCCATATCCCTTACCATAAAAAATGGTGTTTACCAGCACCATACCAGGGGAATCTGAAGCATGAAGGAAGAAAGGGTTTGAGATGTCTACTATACTGGTCTGATAGGAACCAGGAACAACTCCAACTGGGGAGTTTTGAGTGGTGTTTTCATTAAGAGGGGTGTTATCTCCTATTGGATCTAGAAAAGAAGAAAACAATTAAAGGGAAGGTAAGAGTGAGAAGAAGGAAGAAATTTGAAAGAGGATTGGGATCTATTCCCACTGTTCTGATACCATGTTGAAAATCAAAGAGAAGATGATCGAGAAATTTTCCGTGTTTTCAATCATCACTGTTACATTGATTTATACAAGTAGAATTGAGAAATATTGCAATTATGCTATGTACACTTGTCACTATTCTACAGGCTAGATTCCTAACAAACTTTGCAGGAAAATTATTCACAAAATATTCCTTTGCTATGTACACGTATAAGGCTTCTAGAAGATGTCAAAATAAGAACTGCTTTCATCATCAATTGGGCAAGATCTGTATGAGTCCAAATCTGCTTTCTCTATATTTGAGCCCAAATTCCTTTTTGTCTTAGTTTGTACAGTCTTCTTCTTTATTCCTTTTCTTGAGAGTATCCCTGAGTTGAGAGAGACGGAAAGTATTATGATGGTCTGAGAAATCAGAGATCGATTACCACTGAGTTGGAATTTGAGATCCCAACAAAGTGCACCTTGTAATGAGTGATATCTTTATTTATAGGTTGAGAAATCAATCAACGGTCATCATGTTGAATGCCAATTTAGTAGATACTTTGTTATCTCAAAAAGGTTCATATCACTTAGGAAATACACATAAATACTCCAACAATAGTTATCCACTATACTATTTTTGGATGTTCAATAATACTTGTCCATTTTATGAAATCAATGGATAATTTTACACTTGGTTCCTAATTTACCATTATAATTAATTATAGTCATATCCCTATTACATTTTTCAAGATAGTGAACAAATATTGTTAGACAGAGAAAGTATAAGTTCATGAATAAACTCAATGGATAATCCATTTAATTAGTTCGAATTAACATTTTCCCAATAGTAATTCAATTATTATTATTATTATTGAATAAATGTTTCTCTAACGTGAAAGGTCTCTTTCAAATTTACAAACTTAAAAAGTAAAAGATACTTTTCTTTTAAAAAATAAATACTTATTTTATGTGAGCCCCATATAATAAAAAATAAAATTTAATAGGATTTGATTCACCCGATATTACGTGTTATGAACATCTTGTCTTTCCATCTCTAGGTCAAGTCTTTAAAAATATTAAAACATTTTTAGAAGAAAAGAAATATGATTTGTCAGAGTCATTTGCATTAATTAGTTTATTCAATTAGGCTTAAAATACATTGGAGCTACCCAAACTAATTTAAAGATAACTGTTGATATTGTAATATCTCGCTAGCGCCACTACCTTTAATATTTTCCTCCTGCCTAATACAAGTATGACCCAATTAAGATTTTTACTAACAAAAGTCAAAATACACGAGATATATTGTTAAATCTCATATCAGTCTAATGAGAAAAAGTTGGACTTAATATATGGACAATGAATTTGAACAATCTTTATTTTTTTTTCTCTATCCCTATATATATATATATATATATATATATATATATATACGATATAATTTTTCAACAAATCATACTCGTCGAATAAGGGTGGCTCTGGCATTCCAAAACAAGACTAATTTAACACCTTTTAAACAAGATTAACTCATTGGATACAAAACTATTTTTCTTCTTATTTTACCATAGATCACTTATATGTTGGGTTTTAAAAGGTGTGAATGAAAAATGAAGAGTTGTGACTTTTATGAAATGTTGTGACCTTTTCGAAGAATTGTAACTTTTCCAAAGGGTTGTGACCTTTCCGGTAAGACACAATAAGAACCTTTTCACACTACCCTTTGTTGCATATAAATAGAGGGATTTCCTCTCATTTTAAAACAACCAATTTTCTGGACTTCTTCTACTACTACTAAATATTCTAAGTATACTTTATTGCCGTTGATTGGTTCGCTGACATCGTGATTTTAGGTACCGATACACTGGTGAGTAAGATCGTTCTATCATGGGAGGATATATTCTATTAACCTCGGGTACTTGAGGGGAATTATTTCCTTAAGGGGACACTGTACATTCAGTGAACTCGATTTTCTTCTTTGAGAAAAATATTTTGTATATTGTTTTCTAATATGTTTCTGATTCAATTTTCTCTACTGGTTTTAATTTTCTAGTTTTGAAAATACTCTTTAAACTTTGTTGTTTCTTACCAAGTTTTTCAAAATTTTTGTTTTAAGTATCTTAGGAATACAAGATGAACAACATTATATATATAAATTCCTTCTCATAATTATGGTGTTCGATTCAATCTTAGCACACGTCAAGTAATTTCATGGAATTTCTGACATTTTTCATCAACAACAAATACTAGGAAACTCTATCCACTTAGCAAGCAATGGAAAAAACATCATATAATATTTTTTCACTGCTAAGATTTGAACCTAAGATCTCATGATTCTCACTGCACTTCATTGATCATTAGACCCACACTTTTGGGGTAGACATGTATAATTATAGTACTCATGTAAACACTTTGTTTGAATGATTATGTATTGTTTCATAATATATCATAGTGTATTATATTGTGTTATATTGTAATGTATTATTTTAATGAATACAATGTTTGGATAGTTTGTATAGTTCTTCGTCATTACATAATGTGACACATCCATAATCTGAATGATAAACTTACAAGAATTTGTAAGGTATGAGGCAAAGTTACTATGAAAAGATAAGGTAAATGATAACATATAGTAATTATTAAATGAAAAGTAAAGACAAAATAAAAAAAGAAAACATTAAGGTAACAACACAATCACACCAATTCAGCCGTTACATAAAATGAGTACTTTTTTCGTCGTTACCTAACGATGGACTTAAACAACAATACAATAGAATTTAAATAACAATCAAAACAAACATTATATTTAAACTAACAATACAATACAATACAATACAATAATGCGATAACAATTACCATCCAAACATGGTGTAACAATCCCAATTTCAATTTCTTAGTTATTAAGTGTCATTCCTTTCTCAATTTTTTGTTTCTTATGTGTCACGGGGAATTCTCTATTTATTGACATACACACACACAAACAGTATAAAATCCAAGAAAGTGATGCCAATTTGCAAAAAGGCGCCTTGAACGACGAAAAAGTCAATGTATTTGCTGATTGCAACTCAACCACAGCAGTGACACAAAATAATTGGATCTTACTCAATTTACAATATTATCCTAAATGAAAGATTTTTTCTTTACAAACTAGACTACGTCACTTGTTGCGTCATCTATAATCAAAGTTGGAAATTTTAGTAAAAGAAAAAAAAAATAGATCAAAGTTGGTTTATTTTGATAAATAGTGAATTCGCGTATCAAAATTAAAATTTGCTGAACTTTGATTTTCATATTTAGAATGATATTTATAATGGCGTATTTAGAATTTTAAAGTCATAGAAATGCTTAATTGCCATAAGAATATGTTGTTTAGTTGTTTGAAACTTGACGCTAAGAAATAAGTTTACTAGCGAACTATGCTTAAATATTTAGCAATTCAAAGCAATATTATCGTTCTACTTAGAATTATTCTTGTATAATTTTCATATTATTTTTTAAACGATGAATTATCATTATTTATAGTTGTACTAGTTTAACGTAACAAATTACTAGATACTTATTTATAGATTCCTCACACATAATTGTGTGTGTTTATATATATCAAGACATGATGCAACTTTAACTTATAAAAATATGATCAAAGAAAGACAAGAGAATATCTAATTCGCAAAAAAAAATCAATTTCTTAAATCTAATTTTGAAAATATAAACCCTATTAAATCTAGCAAAAACTCCTTAGTAGAAGCACCACATAGTACTAAATTTCCATCTCTTTAGAGAATAACATCCTCAATTTCATCCAAAAAACACACACTATGTTTTCAAGTTACCTAAAAATAAATTGTTTTGGTTGAAAATTAAAATCGGTTGTTCTTTTGCCACTATGATTAAAGAAAGGGGAAAAAATGAAAAGTGAAAGAATAAAATGTACGTCAACAGATGATGAAAAAGAAGAAAGTCAGTAGGATAAGCTTTTCCAAAAAAAAAAAAAGAATCCTTTATCTTTGGAATCGTGATTTTTCACTTTTATGTAAATCAAAGTGGAATATATCATTCATCAATTTATGGTACCACACAAAATTAAAAGAGATCTTAATAGTATCGAGTCATACCGGGCTAATATAATATGGTAATGATAAAGCATTTTTAAAAATTAAAAATCAAAATTATCGAATCAAAATATTTATGACCGTACCATATCTATATATAGTAAACCGTGAACGTCCCTAACATGAGCTTGTTCCCTTCCTCTGCATGCCATCACTGCTGATCAAATTTAATTGCTATTTGATGAAGACCAACATATAAATACAAAACGTGGGCGGTTGGGGCCAATATTATAGTATATAATTTAGGAGATAGTCACTAAAATGGATAATTTTACTACTTTCAACTTTTCTAGGTAAGCACCCTTACTTCCAACCTGAAGGTTGCGAGTTCGAGTCACCAAGGGAGCAAAATGGGTGGAGCCCCTAGGGAGGGTAATAAAAAAAAATTCAAAAAGATAGGTATTTCAGATCTGG